CAGGCACCAGCTTCTGGAAACAAATGTAAGGATGGAACATTCCTCTAGAAATAGGTTGCCCCAGCCGCCAGGGCACTGGCCGAAGCATTGATTCTCTAATGCACGGTATTAGGAAAAATGGACCTGTTAGAAAAATACGCGTGAACCATCCTTCCTGGAATAACAGTAGCTGGAGCGCAGGCTGCAGAGCCCACTCCCTAGGTTTGGGCCCTGGCTCCTCCGTTCCTGGACCTGGGACCTTGGGCAACTTGCATGACCTCTCTGGCCACTGTGTTCCTCATCCCTCAAGTGGACAGGACACTATGGTCTGACTCTCAGGGTTGATGGCAGGAACAAATATGTCCAGTAACTGGTGCTGGATACATAGGATGTATGTACTGGTTACTGACATTACCTCACCACACCACTTCCAAATGCTTCCCGAGAAATCACCGTAATGTAAAATGAACGTCCTAACCTTCACCTTTCAGGATTCTTTCTGAGACTCTCAGCAGTTCAGCAATCAGTCAGAGATCAGCAGCCCAGAGATTAAAGACTGCAGCCCAGCTGCCGGGAGCTCCCTAGGGCTCCGGTTTCTTGAGGCTGCACCATCTACACCTGGGCATCAGCGAAGAAGTCCCGCATCGCTCTCCCTAGGGAGATAACGGAATCTGAGTCAGTCCGGAATGGCCACCAACCACAGGAGCTGCAAGTTATAGGGCTGTCATGGGAGAGAGAAGCAGAGAGAACAAAAGAAGGTGGTGACGGTAGAAACTTGGTCCAAAGGCGAGACCTCTCCCTGGGTGACCAAGCTCACTGGCCCTGCACTTCCTCATTTCTCGAATAAAGGGTCTGGCCCCATCCACATGTTCCAAACTCTGATCCATGGAGCACCAGCTTGGCAAAATGTCGGTAAACAGCCCAAACAAAAGAAGTGCTCCATGTACAGATAAATTGGAAAGTTATATACTAAGCAAAGTTAAACCAGTGCAAGGCTTCCCAGCATCTTTATGTTCCAGCGTGTGCTGACTCCTGGGCGTGGGGGGTGGGGAAAGTAATGCAGCATTTCCCAAATGGATTTAGCCAGAGATCCCATTTCTTCCTAGAATACCTGTTACAAACTTGTGGGCCAAGGGTTTCTGGGCACACTTTTGGGAAACACTAAACTAAACGACTTCTAAAATCCCTTCCTGTTGTGATATCACTTCAGGTTTTTGAGACTGTGCGGGCATATGGCCTTGTCGGCAAAGATTGTCAGCACAGATCATGGCCCAGTGGGCACAGAGAAGGCACCCAGAACTCACAGCAGACATGCCTTGCTTACCAAAGACTCCAGGGAGAGGCTGAGCCAGAGCCCCCGAGCCTCCCTGAGGGCTGGAGCCTGTGTGGGGAAGAGGAATGCTGGTCACTCCTGCCTCCCTCCCTCTGCTGGCCCAGGGGAGCCATCTGCCCTGACTGTGCTCTCTGAGACTGGCCCCTGGAGCTGGACTCCCTGGCCCCTCCCCGTCCCTCCCTCACCCTCCCCTTGTCCTCACCCTCCTTGCCTACCCAGTGTCCTGGAAAACTGTATGGAAGCACAGCCCGCTCCCCAGCACACTGGGTCCCCAGCCCAGCCAGAACCAGATGCAGTGGTGACATGGAAGCTGCGGAGCTGGGTCATCCACGGTGGCCCAGTCCAGATGCCACTCAGGAGGGAGCTGTCACAGGCTAACTGCAGAGGCAAGAGCACCACACCAAGTAGAGCAACTCAGTGAGATGATGTGCATGTGTGTGCGCACACATGCATCCAGTACACACTGGCGTGCAAATAAACGCTGTTCCCTCAGGCCAGGGAGCCACTTTGGTCCCTCCGCACCAATGTAGAAAGGCATTATGCAGCATACCTGCAACAAATGCTGATGGGCAAACACGCACACACCAAGTCTTGGGAGGTGGAGAGGAGAGGAAGAGAGTGGAAGGTGGAGGAAGGGGGGCTGGAAGAGGAGGGAGAAGAGCACTCTGGGAAATCCCAGCTTCTCTGCACGCGGTTCTGCCTTCCAGCCTCTCAATAACCCTGGCAGGTGGATGGCCTCATTCTCCCTTTAGACCCGTAGAAACTGAGACTCAGGAAGATCGAAGGGCTTGCTGGAGGCCACACAGCTCCTAACGGCCAGGGGGGCATTTGAACGCAAGTGTGTCTGACCATCAGGCTGGAGTGAGGTGAATCAGCAGGAGCTCCTTGTGGGAGCTGAGCAGGCCCACCAGGACTCAGGGATGCTGGAATGCTCCCAGGGCTGGCTCAGTGCTGGGATCTCCGCCATCTCGTGGCCCTGGCCAGCGGTGACCTAGCGTCCTGGGCCAACAACCCCATTCCTGGTGTGGGCTGGCCTGGTCAGCTCTGGGTGGTGAGAGTTGGTGACAAGGTGGAGTCCTGGGCTCTGGGCCCTTGGCGGAATGATTAGCAAGATGAAGATGGTTTTCAGGGTAACCACACCTCATCCACACCTTAAGCCCCAAGAATCTCTCCACCCGGGTCACTCTCATCAGAGAGGAAATGGTCAGCTAGATTACAGCACAGCAAAACATCCAGACTAATCCTTCTTGAATGATTCGTGCTTTTAAAAAGTTTTCAACCCCAAAATAAGAGTATTTAATAATGAAATTTCAGACTCAGAGACAAATCGATCAATGCACATTGTGTTTGTGTGTCTGAGTCCACAGCTGCAATCCACGAACATGCATTAGGTGCCTCTGTAAGTGTGGGGATGACGCCTGAATATAACAGGCCCCGCTTCAAGGGGTTCATGGCTCGGTGGAGAAGACAAACATGCAAATGTAGGCAGCCCTAAGGTGTTCCGGATGCCGTGAGGGAAGTGATCCAGATAAATGTGAACACCAAGGAGAACTGGAGGGGCAGGTTCCACCTGGGGAACAAGCGGAGTTGGAAAAGACTGCAGAGGAGAGGGCGGTTTGGGTTGGGGCACCGTAAACTGAGGCTGGACCACGGAGGGCCTTGGGCCCAGGCTAAGAAATAGGACTTCGCCCCATGGGCAATAGGGAACCGCTGAAGGAACAGGTCGGTCTTTGTCATAAGGACATGGGAATGATCAAATTCAACAGGACACAAGATCAAATGCACTGTGGAAATGTACAAGGGGGCTTCTAAAGGCTGATCCAGGTTTGGACCCTGCCCAAGGGCTGGAGACACGCCTCATGCACGCCCACTGCTCCAGCGGCCCAGTTGTCGAGTCTGGATGTCCCCTGACCCGACCCCTCCTGCCTGGTGGAAGACACCTTCCCTCTGTCCACCAGGAGAAAGGGCAGTAGGTCAGGGCTCCGAGCGAACCGCTCTGTAAATATGAGAGAGAACGGCCTTCCATGGGAGGGACTCCCAGTGGTTTTGTCCTGTGTGTGTCCTTGGGGAGAGACGTTGCTCAATCGTTTTCCGTTCTCTGCCTGAGCACTTTTATCATCACAGCAATGCAATGATTTAGGGCCCACAGGATTTGAACGGGCCCAGCCCATGAACAGAACTACAGGCACTGCGGTGTTTGCACTTTAACACGTCAACATATCATGGAAAGAGTGTGGTTCTGGAGTGAGACGGGTGGGGGGCGGAACAAAAATCTCCCCTCTGGCACTAACGAGCTCTGTGACGTGGGAAGAGTTACTTAACTTCTCTGCTTCAGTTCTAATCAACAAAATGAAGATAAAAATATTTGCATTTTAGGGTGTTTTGAATATAAAATTCAGTAAGGATATAAGCGTGTGAGGAACTGTGAAGGCTGCGCAACGTGACCTGCTTGCCTGTAACACTTCGTGGCTGCTGACAGAAGCCGCGAGGCTCCTGGGTCCAAGACGGAGAACTTTGTTACCCTCAGCACAACAAGGGCATGAGCATTAGCACGTTGCATCAGTTCTCCTCGTCCCCCAGTCCCACGTGGCAGTGTGGACAGTCCCAGACGGATGCTTGCCCACATGGCAGGTTGAGTTCCAGAAGAGGAGCCCTGAGCTAGCGAAGCAGAGACTCTCAATGGGGAGCGAGCAGGCCTGCCCTCTGCTCCGGGGGAGGCCCTTCCTCCATCTTCCAAGGCTGCTTGCTACACAAACATCCCTGAAAAGGTAGTCCAGAGCAAAGGGCAGGTCGTGCCTCACTCGCAAGATATGAGAAGTGTGAGAAGCCCATGGAGAGCAGAGCGTCTGGCCCGCGAGCGCTCAGGAGACACTTGTTGAATAAACGTGCACATGCGTGTACCCCTGGCAACACGCGAAGTAACTGGGCTCAGAGCCCTTTAAAGCACCCTGCCTTCTCACCAGCAAGCCGGAAAGCATCTTCCACTTCTTGAGACCTATGAGGGAGTTTCAAGCAGAAAGCTTTTCTCCATCCCTTTGCGTGAGAGAGAGGGCTGCAGGCTTGGGTGTTTTTATTGGTTTGCTATCACATAACAAATCAGGGCACACACTGCGGGAATGTCGCAGTCTGTGGATGAATTCAGACCCCCGGAGCCCTGGCACTGAGGCTGCACAGAATTCGCCAGCCTCTATTTCTAAGGTCCTCCTGTGATCCAAAAATCTCTTCTGGCCAACATTAAAGATCTTTAAAGATGCTTAAGATAAGCAGTCCTCCTGGTCTTTAACTTCAAACCAAACACTCTGGCCACCTCTTAGTTTTCAGATAGCTAAAATTATTATTCTTTTTCTCTCCAAGTCAAAAAGTACTTAGCAAGCAGTTCTATATTCAGCGCTCTCAACATGAGCACTCTGTGGACCCCCCAGGGGCAGGCCGTGCCTTCCTCCAGCGAAGGAGCATTGAATTCACAGCTGTTGTCCATTAGACATTGTCCTCTATGGGTGACAAGTGGAGACGTCAGGACAGGATGATGGTGAGCATCCGGACCTCAGCATCCGGGCAGTGATGCACCTTCGTGCATTCCATCATTCTTTCCACACATGTTCTCTGGGTTTACGCTACACTGCAGGCACAGTGCCAGAGATTTAGAGGCGAGCCAGGCCCAGCCACTGCCCTGGAGGACACTCACCACAATAGAAAACGTGTTCAATCTGCTCAGGCTGTGAAAGTCCACAGTGGAAGGAGATCTTAAGGCCTGAGTGAGGTCAGGGAAGGATCCTTGGAGGAGGAATTCTGAGCCTGGTTCTGAAGGAGTGAGCCGGATGAAGGGGTGAGAAATGCAGAGAAACAGAGGTGCGTGTAGAAACTTCCGGTGTGCTGTTATACCTGGAACGTGAGTCCTGTGCAGAAGTGAACAGGATGAGGCTGGATCCAGAGACTACAAAGAACCAGGTAATGGGGGGTCTGGCTGCCATTCTTTAGGGCCTGGATGTTGCCTTGTGAGTGGGAGAGAGACCTTGGAAGGACTTACAGGAGTGAACAGGGCGCAGATATGGTCAGGTTTGCAAAACATGTTAGCAGTTAACATTGAAGATGAGTGAGAGGTGTACTCTGGAAGAAAGATGGTCTAGAAATTGCTGAGGCCTGAATAGAAAAAAGCACCCTATAACAGATCCCTTAGGACAGAAGCAAAGCCCACTTTTGACACAACTGTGAATCCACCTGACTCTGCCTTGGTTACGGGAGGCCGTGTGTGCAGAAGACCATAGCCGCTGCAACAGAAGTGCAGAATAGATCTGTTGGGTTCATGGATGAAGACTGCCCATCCGCCTTTGTCACTGAACTCTGCACAAGGTCTTCTGACCTCTGAAGCAAGGTCTTCAGCATCCTGTGGACACATTTTCTGCTCCTCTGGGACAAAAGATACCTGGCTAGAATCCAAGAGGGGAAACACAAACGGGTTGAGAAGGGTTGCCTCTTACAGCCTGCCGACAGGGCATTTGAGACGCCCAGGGAAGGCATTCCACCTAAATTTTCAACCTCAAGTAAACCAGAAATTCCACAATTCAAGTTTTATTCTTTAGGATGAAGTATTGCAAAGCCCTCGGCCACACACATCCTTCCAGGCACGGGGGAAGCAGAGGGAAGAGCGAGGCTCTGCACAACCCTCTTCTCTGTGCAGAGGACTCAGGGCACCGGAGTCTTGGGGTGGGACAGCTGGGCATGTTTGCGGAGGGCAGGATGGAGGCAGGAGGCCGGAAAAGGTAGATGTTTCTTAATTCATTGATTTACAAAGGCTCAGCTCTGACACCCCTCTCAGGTCGGAACTCCACCCTGGCCCACATAGGACTATGATACAGAAAGGAGGCAAAACAACCAACTCCACACAAGGCCACAGAAACCAATATGGGTGCTGATGTCCAACCTTCTAATTTCCCTAGGAGAAGACATGGGGTCTTGGAGACTCCGGAGGGGGCAGGCTCACATTTGTTGTAGATACCTGCACCCGGGCAATGCTGGCACCTGCTCACCACTGGGCGCCTGTGGACGCCCTCCCACCGCCTGTGTGCCTGGCAGGCATCGCCAGTCGATTATAACGCTCTCCCACTCTGCCAGGCTGAGCGCCACCATCCTCCCCACACCCCACTCCAGGCGGCCTCTGCCAGACCCAGCTGCGGCCTGACCTTTGAAGTGAACCTGTTGCTGGCTTCTTGCAGTTGCTGTCGCTAGCTGAAGGAGACAGTTGCTTCCTGGGAGAGGACGTGGGGCAAGGGCAGGAGGCTGTCCTCTTTGAGCCTGGACTTCCTCATCAATAAAAAGGGAGGAAAAGCCCGCCATCCCTTCCTTATGAAACTGCAGAACGGGCCAAGGCCATGAGACATGGAGCTGCCCAGGAGGGACAAGGAGCCTTCTGCCACAGGTCTTCTTCCACTCCTTTCAATGCCCTCTTGAAATGTACCGCCAGAAAGATATTATTTTTCCTTGTTTATATGAAGGGTTTTCTCACCCACTCACAGATATTTTTGAGTTTCAAAAAGAAAACAAGGCTGGAGTGTTTGAACAGCCGAGCTGAGCTGGAATTCTTGGCACCCACCAGCAGCTGCCCCCCAGGGAGGTGGAAGAAGTTCTCTGACTCGCTCATTCCACCCACTATTAATCACCTGCCATTGAAAGGTGACTCCAAGAGGAAAAAATGTGCCCTGGCATTACTACTCAAAGAAACACAAAAATAAAATGCATGCGTACCTCACGCTTGAGCCTGCTAATGACTGCAGAGCCCGTCTAACAGAGTCTTACTGAGGCCACCAGGGGCCCCGGGGCACCCACCGGGGAGGGCGGGCATGAGCGTACCTTCGAGGGCAGTGCACTTGGCAGTGTGCTGAGAATCTTGTAAATGTCCACTTTCTTTGATCCAGAAATTCCACCTCTGGAAGTCTATACTGAGAAAATATCCTGAAATACACACCAAGACTTGAGTTTAAGAAAAGGTCCATAATAGCTCTATTTACAGCAAGGAGAACGTGGAACTGTTTAAGTGTTTATCATTAAGTGAATGTTAAGAGAATTAGGATGCAGACTCGCAATTAGATATTCTGCAGCAATCAAATGATGTTATGGGGAATTTTTAACAGGTTAGGGAAATGCTTGAGGTATAATGTTAAGTGAAAAACATTAAAATACACAATATACCAGTTCCAAACTCAGGCAAGCTAAAAAGGCTCAGAAAAGCTCGGGAAGCCCACCCCCGTACTAATGTAACTACTCAGGCTGCTAAGACCATCGAGAGGCGTTTCCACCGGAATCGAGGAAGCTTTTCTGAGACTCCGGCCCTTTGGAGCTTCAGTGCAGCCTCCGCCCTCCTTGCCCTCAGGATGAGGTGCCTTCATGGGCTCCCTCACCCTGCCCTCCACCTCCTGTCAAAGTGTCCATAGGTGGCACTGCAAGGCCCCCAAGTCCCCTGAGAGTCTGCAGACCAGGCCTCTCCCTCTCTGCATAATCCTTAATCCAGAGGGCCTCAGCTCCTAAGCAGAGGTTCTTCAGTGACAGTAATAGCCACGGGTCATTGTTTTCTGATATTTTCCTCCTATCAAGTACTTTTCCAAATATTCTGCCAAAAATATACAATCAGAGAAAAAGCAGTATAAATTAAATGCACCTCACCCAAGAATTGGCATTGTTGTAAATGCAGAGTATTCTATAGCCCATCCTCCCCGCTGAGCCCTGGGGCTGTGAACCCCTCTGCAAATTCCCCTCGTGAGGGCTGTCTACCCAGGAGGGGTGGTCTCTGGAACCAAACAGAGAAACAGTACAGGAGTGTTGCCCAAACTACAAAGGCACACGGAAAGTGCTCGAGACCCAGGCCCGGCCACACTGCTCGGTAGACATGTCATCCATATTGGGAAACTGACTGGGTGTGGGGCTGGTGAGATGGGAGACGACCAGGAGGCTCAGCTGCTGGAAGGCACAGTGGGGGTTCTACAGGCCAGCTCTCTACTGAACAGACGGGAGACTGAAGGGAGACGGAGTGAGGGCTTGTCTGATGCAACACCACGCAGTGGAGGTGAGCCATGACTAACATTTCTAAGTTTACTGAGCACCTATCATGTACTCAGTACGCTCTATTAACCCGTTTAATCCTCACAACAATCCTTTGAGGTGGGTGTTGTTCTTTTCTCTCCATTTCACAGATGAGGAAATTGAGACACAAAGACATTAGGAAGCTCATCCAGATTGTGTAGCACGACGTGGCTGAGGCAGGATTTGAATGTAGGTTTCATCCTGTGCACTTAATCATTACACGATTTTTTGGAAACTGCTGATTCAGAAGGGCTACGCTGCATTTCTAGAAGCCTGCAGTTGGTGGGCCTGCAGAACTGCTCTAAGGGTGCCCAGATGGCCATCCCGTCCAGCATGAGGTGAGGGTGTGCATCTGCAGCCCTGACCAGCCAAGCCAGCATCCCTGTCTGCTGAGAGCTGGTATTTATTCCAACTGATATAATGCTTTCCCAAGCAAACTCCCAGAGGCCAGGCAAACACATTCTCAGAGATACCCAGCAAGTTATCCGTTCTTTAGGATTTCCCCGCTTCATCAGGGATGTCTGCATGGGATGGAGTAATGGAAGAGGGAAGAGACTGCCTTCCAGAAAGATCCTACCTGGATGCAGACACTCAATTCTCAGGATAACAGGAAACCCGAGGGATGGTGTTGTCCAGGAGCCGAGTCAGGGAGCTTTTTCATGGCCATGGTAGAGCAGAACTTTGTGGGGCCCTGAGGGGGCAGAACACCACCTTACACCAGGGCAGGAGAATGCGCCCTCACTCCAAGCCCCAGAGCACGTGGAGAGAACGTCCCGTTGCCTGCTCCTGTGTGCACACTGGGTCTGCAGGCATGAAGGTCAGCTCTCAAGGAGGCCACAGAGACGGAGACACTGATAGAGAGGAACCCCGAAATGCAACACAGCTTGCTAAGTAAAGGGACAGAGGGGATGACAGGATGTTTCCACACATGACCCAGAAGAGAATGGGATGGGGAAGAGAAACAAAGGAAAAGGGAAAGGATGGAAGGGAAGAGAAGGGTTGGCCGAGCAAAGCTTCTTAGAGGAAGAACTCTGCTTGTCAGTCTGGAAAGATAAGTAGAAATTACTGAGTTATCAATTATTTGCATTAACAAAGGGGAATTTCAGACAGAGGTGGGTGACGGGCAGAGGTGGATGTGGCATACCCAGGGTCCTAGGAGAATGCTCACGAGCAGCCTTGAGAGTCAAGCGAGGAAGTGTGCATTTGGTCTGTAATCAATGGGCCCCTGTGGAAGACTCTGAGCAGGGGGTGGCCCAATCAGATTTATGACTTACAAACATTACTTTTAGTGTCATGAGAGATGGACTAGACGGAATCTTCCCCCTCCACAGGCCAAAGTGATGGAAAGTCTCACCACTTTTTAAATCTCTAACTGGGAAAAATACATTCTCTCTAGAAAAGAAGTTAACAGCATGCGAACACCTTCCCTGGGTGTCTCTCCTTGTCTCCCTGGGTAACTCCTTAACCCTCACCTACTATACGTTAGCACCCACCAACACAAAAATGCCCACAGCACGTGAGCCTCAGTCCCCTTCTCAGATTAGGTGACAAAGAAAATCTAGGCCCCAAGATCATGCAGCACAGAAAGGTCATTTAATTTATTATTAACATCATTTTTATATGCTTTTAGAAGTAATGGCTCCAGTCAAGACGGAACGAGTAAATGCCCTCCTTAGATGCATCACCTCTATTCTAAACATCTGGTAATAAGAGATAAAGCAGAAAACAGAGAAGGCAGCCTCAAAAGCGAGAAAGACATTTCTGTGGAGTCAGAAAAGGAATAGAGATGCAGAGAGGCTCTGGCTTGCTGGCTCAGAAACAGCTCTGGCTGGGGACCAGGAAGTAAAGGCCTGAGAAGGGAGACCCAGAGTTCAGAGATCAGGAATTTTAGAGAAAACTCACCTCCTGAGCACGAAGACGGATGAGCAAAATTAAGTTCACACCTTGACACACCCTATTGAAACCACAGAAGAGTGGGGAAAAGAGACATTGTCTCCAAAGGAATAACCGCCAGGCTAACAGTTGACTTCTCAACAGCAGCAAAGGAAGTCAGCGGGCAATGGATTATCTGAATGTGTGAGTGAAAATCACCCGGGAAGTGACAGATGGAAAAAAAAGAAGTCAGGTGCTGAAAGGTATACAGAGGATTGAGTAAGGAAATCTAACATACATCTAGTCAGATTTCTAGAAGAAGAGAGAAATGGAAAGAGGCAACAGCTAGCTGGGAATTTCCCAGAATTAACAGAAGACACCAATCTTCAGAATACAGAAATCTCATAGATTCCCAAGATGAAAGCAAAGAGCTCACACTAGGCCCATTGTAGTAAAATTGCGAAACAGTGAACACAATGAGTATATATTAGAGGTAATGAGAGAGAAAATATAGATTGAATTTAAAAATATCAACAATTATTTTGACAGATAACTTCTCAAAACTAAAAAGGAAACCATAAAAAATGAAATAATACTTGCAAAGAGAAAGTAGAGAAAACTTCAACCTGGAATTGTATACTTATCAAAACTATCTTTTAAGAACAAGAAAAAAGAAAGACATTTTCAGACAAATAAACTCTCACCAAAGGAAATTCTAAAATAATTCAAAAAGAGGAAAGAATCTCAGATGGAAAGTATAAGATGCAAGATAAAATAATAAACAAAAATGTGGTAAATATATAAGGAAATCTAAACAAAAGCTAACTTTATAAAACAATAATAATAATGTCTCATGAGCTTAGAAAAGTGAAACAACTAAAATATTGGATGTCCACACCATATTTAGAAAGGGTAGTTAAAATTAAAATATTCTTGGGTCTTGTTTGGGAAAATGACAACAATATTAATTAAATTTTGGCTTTGATAAGTTAAATATACATATTAAATAAAATAACAGAAAAAAGTATAAATTCTAAACTAGAGGCAAAAATGGAGTGAGAAAAAATATTCAATCAATTCAAAATAAACCAAGAAAAATAAACATAGAAAAGGTCAGACAGACAAAAAGTATAAAGTAGGTTATTGGAAATCAATCCAATTACATCAGAAATATAATAAATGTAAATTTATTACACTCCATTTAAAATAAGAGATTGTCAAAATAGAAAAGTAAAACAGAGGCTATTTATAAGAAACAAAACTAAAACATATTGACACAGAAAGAATAAAACTAAAACAGTAAAAAAAAAAAGAAATCCTGCAAATATTGATTCCCCCAAAAGCTGGGATAACACCTATAAACTTAGATGCATCTAAAAATATGGTCTCGAAATACATAAAGCAAAAACTGACAGAGCTGCAAGGAGAAATAAACCAATCCAGAATTATTTTAGGAGTTATTGACACAACTGTTTGGGGAAAAGCTAAATTAAATAAGCAAAAAAAAAAATACCCAAAAAACCAGAGACATGAAAGATTTGAAAAATAAATCAATCTTGATATGACAGAGATTAGATGGATAGATAGATAGATAGGTAGATAGATAGATAACCAGTTAATATTCATGGCATTCAACGTTGAAAAATGCACATTCTGTTCAAGTGCACATGGAATAGTCACTAAAAAAAGTACACGTGGGATATTTACAAAAATATTTACTTTTAAAGGATTGGTATCCAGGTATCTTACAAAGTACATTCTCTGACCACAATGTAATTAAGTTAGAAATCAATAACAAAGATAATTACTATACGTATGTAAATTCAACAACATACTTCTGAATAACACCCGAGTCAAAAAAGAAATCATAATGGATATTAGAAAACACTCAAAACTGGAAGATAGTAAAAGATTGCATATCAAAATGTAATCGGATGCTAATTTTATATGTAGATGCAATTTTATAGCCTTAAATATTAATATTAGGAACAAGAGAGACTGTACGTAATGACCTAAGCATCTGACTTGCGAAGAACAGAACACACCTAAAGAAAATGGGAAGAAGAGTGTACTAAAGACGAAGGCAAACATGAGTGAAAAATAAGCTCATACAATCGAGAGAAAAATAACACCAAAGACTGGTTATTTGAAAAGACCAATTTTAAAACCTGAGGCGGAAGTAATCAAGAAAGACATGAGAGAAGCCATAAATAAATAGGAGTAAAACAGAAAACATAACTTTCTTGCAGATATTAAAAAAGCAATACAAGGATATTATGAGGAACATTATAACAATAAAGTTGAAAACTTAGATGAAATGTACAAATTCATAAAAAATATAACTTACCAATATACTGAGGAAAAGTGAAAAACAGAAATTCTGAGTGGTCCTATAATCATTAAAGAAAGCTCACCAAGTGTTAAGACTGTCCCACAGAGAGACCACGAGGTCCACGGGATTCCTCAGAGAGCTATACCAAACATCCACGAGATACACGATTCTGTTTCACTCAGACTCTTTCAGAGAAAAGGCACTAGCTCACTTATGAGGTGGGCATAAACGATACCAGAACCCAACCACAACAGTGTAAGGAAATAAAATTACAGACACTCTGTGTTTCATGAATATAGATGTAAGAAATCCTTAAAAATATACTAGCAAACTGAATCCAGCAATAGATATGAAAGCTTAGATATCATGACCACACTGAGTTTATTCTAGTAACGCGCAGTTGATTTAACACTTAAAAAAATCAATAAATGAAAGTCATGATTAACAAAGGAAAAATGTCATAGGCTTATTTATCAGATTCAGAAAAAGCATTTGATAAAATGTAGCATATATTCATTATAAAAATCCTTAGCAAGCTAGAAATAGAAGGAAATTTGCTCAACCTTATAACGAAAACATCTTATATGAGTGACAAGTGGAAAATGTTTCCTTAAGACTAGGAATAGGTAAAGGACCCACTCTCATCACTTACCTTGAACATCACACGGGAGGTCCCAGCTGGCCTAGTAAGGCAAGGAAAAAAAATGTCATTGGTCAAGAAGAACCCAAACAGTCATTATTTGCAAATAATATAACTGTCCTTATAGAAAACCCAGAGAATTTACAGATGAATTATTGTATTAATAAGAGAGTTTATAAGATTACTGGATACAAGATTAGTTTTTTTAAACTGAATTTCTATATACTAACAATAAATGTTTAAAAAAAATGTTGCTTTTATAAGTATCATTTAAGATTGTCTCAAGAATATGAAGTCCACAAAAAAAATCTAACAGAAGACATAGATGACCTCTATGGACAAAATTAGAAATTCAATTAAAAGACATCCAAGACTCTCAGTTATTTCCGTCTTCACTGCATTCCAATCAAAACACAGTAGTGGTTGAGACTCCCGTTGGTTTTGCTGTGTTGTATCTATGGTTGTGCAACCGGATGTGCTGTTTCTAATATTTGCTTGGAAGAGCAAAGAGTAGGAATGGCCAAGATAGACCTGAAGAAGAAAACCAGGCGAGGAGACTTGCCCCGTCCCATCCTAAGGGTTCGTACAGATCTCAGGTAAGTAGGGAATGAGACAGTGGGGCAGGAGGGGAGAAAAGGGCAAATGGAGATGAACAGAGAATCAAGAAACAGACCCGTACAGGAAACCTAGTTTACGACAGAGCTAGCATTGCACTTGCATGAGAAAAATTGGACCTTTGAGGAAATAAAGAATACACAGATTCCATCTATCTTTCCCTTTATTTGGACTTGTTACTCGCCGTCATTGGTGTGGTGTCTCTGAGACCACAGGAGAGGCATGGCTCTGGGGTGCTGGTGAGTCTGAGCGGATGACAAGGATGGTTCTGCAACCAGTGGAAAACCACAAACAGGATGTGGCTGCTGCCACGGGAGGGGACTGTCATTGCTGTGGCAAAGAGGCATTGTTGGGGGACGCTCCCAGGGACAGGGAGGCCACAGGAAACAAGGAGCGAGCCTCTTCTGTCCCCTGCAGCCCTGCAGTCGCCCCACAGCGCCCCTGATTGGTGGATCCTAACAAGGAGCAGCTGGCAACGCAGACGGTTTGCAGAGTCCTGACCTCAGCATCACAAGCTGAAGTATAGACAGGATGGTTTGGGGCTGAGAAACAAGCGCTTGATATTAAACTGGCACGATCACAAGATTAAGAGTCCCAGAGACATGGGGCCTTGGTTTCCTCTGGTTTATTCCCTGTTTGTCTGTGCCTCTGTCCACATTTTGCTCCAAGTTGTTCTTCATGTCAGGCCTTTCCTCAGACTCCCCACCACGACCCTGCTTATTCTTCAAGGCACAAGCCAAATGGTCACCCCATCCAGAGTGCTTCCCCGGACACCGTGGGAGCTCGGCTCCAGGCACTCACCCTCTCCTTCAGCCTGCGCCTTCTCAAGGCAGGTGGAGGGCCCTGGGACATCAGCAGGCTGGGGGCACGTCACCAGGACTCAGGCTCGGGTCAGGGGCTGCAGTCCTGACGTGTGTTGGGGAAACACGGTCTCTTCCCGCCTGATGTTAATATAGGCCCGAGCCCAGCGGGGCTGAATGGAAAGAAGCCTGTGCTTTGCTCTAGCAGTGCGTGGGCAAGACTCCTCCTGAGACGGGTCAACCAAAGCACCCATCACTGTCAAATATGGCTCCACCACGTCCTGCCTACCTGGAAGCCCCCGCTGTCCATCTTCCCAAAACACCGGGGGACCATTAGCATGAGGACCAATACCACGTTTGCTGCAAGGCCGCACTGAGTCAGCGAATGAAGCAAAGCAAGCGAAAGCAGTGCGTTACAGCAGTCGGTGCTGCCGGTTACGGAACCCAACCCCAGCTCTCCCCGCCACTCCCAGGGCAGGAGGAGCGCAGAGGACACATCAACAAAAGCCATGGCAGCAGTGACAATGACAGGAACAAGAGCAAGCTATTATTTAATGTGCTGAGGACTACACTTGATAAGCATTATTTCATTTCATTCTCACAACAGCATCAGGAGATAAACATAATCAGCCTCACCGGAGAAATTAAAGCTCTGAGACTCAGGGAGTAAATCATAAAACAAACAAAAAACGCCTGCCCAGGGTGACAGAGCTGGTAAGTGGCACTGGGGGAGACTGTCCTCAGCAATCAGTTCAAGCTCAAGGCAACGACGGGACTGGTTCTCCTAACAAATCCGGCTGACCCGCGGCGCTGTGTGAGGCAGCCTGGGCCGCTGGAACACAATATCGTAGACTGGGGGCTTAAACAGCGTTTATTCCTCACAGCTCTGGAGTGGGGCCTTCCGAGACCAGGGAGCCGGCACGGTCAGGTTCTGCGGAGCGCCCGCTGCCTGGCCTGCATCTTCACACAGTGGAGGGACAAAGGGCCAGTGAGAGCCAAGCTCTCTGGTCTCTTAGAAGGGCTCTCATCCCATCAAGCGGGCCTCACTCTCCTGACCTCGACAGCGTGTTCAGGGTTTGTCACCCTCACACATGCCACTTTGGTGTATCGATTAAAATAATCAAGCCAAAGGCACTTGAAAAACAGCAAATGCAGGGAGAGGCTTTCTCTGAATTCCTTTGTCTATCTAAAGCCAGACCCTCCTCCAAAAGGAACTCGGTGGCCTCAGATGCCCTCCCTGGGAGTTTCATCAACCTCGTCACAGGAGAGGGCACTAGAGGTCACCACCACACCAGACCAACTTTGTCACAAACTAAGACACTTCCCGTCTGTCCTTTTCAGGGCCCAGTCACCTTTCCTGAAAATCCGCCACCCTCCTCTCAGTGGCGTCCGTCCCCCGCCCCTTCCCACGGAGATGGCACACGAGCTCTCGAATCGCACTGCTGCTTTTGAGCATTCACTTGTTTTCCTGAGATGCTCCTGTGCACATAATATTAAAAATTAATACATTTGTATACCTTTCTCTTATTAATTTGCCTGCTGTAAGATGATTTTATAGACCCAGCTACTGAACCAAGGAGGAAAGAGGGAAAATCCTTCTTCCCCTGCAACCTCATCTAGCCCTGCTTACCTCCCAAAGGCACGATCTCCAACACCATCACACTGGGAGTTACGGCTTCAACACGCGAATTTGGGGTGAACGCAAACATTTAGATCACACAGGTGAGTTCCTCCGTCTCTCCCTATCAGAAATGTCCCAGAGCCTGCCCCACACCCAGCCCTTCTTCAGAAACATGCCCTCTCCCACCCTTCTCTGAGATTTACCGAGGAGCCATCGTGTTCACGGAGACTCACTCTGTGGCTACAGTTGATTGGTCCAGGGGACCCAAATCAAGTCAATCAAGGAACACACAGAATTTAGAGGTAGGAAACCTACTTTCCGGAGAGTGAGGTGCGGGCAAATCAGCAGCATTACAGACGCAGGTGCCAACGCCTGGGTTCCCTCAACCCCACCTCCCCTCCAGCTCCCTTCTGCCACGCAGAGTCTAGAGAAGTCAGCCAAGGGGATTAAACTGCTTACTGTGCATTGTTCCAAGGCAACTCACCAACAAAATATAAATAGCTCAGCTAACACTGGCAACAGCCGGCCGGAAAGGCAGGCAGAGGCCATTGATAAGCTGGCTGCAGAATCTCAGGCCTGAGAATGTCACCCCAAGTACCCTAAGAGCAGAAAATGCCCAGATATATAATGGGGCCGCCTGCTGAGCAACAGGTGGGGGTGAACGTGGTGAAGCAGGGGCTGCAAGAGGCTATCTGAGCTGGCTAGATTCAGTCAGTAAGTATTGAGCAGGTCAAATCAAATCAAATCAAATGAAGTCACCCCCAATCTCAACCTCTTTATGAAGAGAGAAGAGGCTTGGGAAGGGAGACAAGAGTGAGTGACCACGTTTCAGCTGTTCTCAGGGGGAGCAGGAGAGTCTGCAATCATTTATTCAAAAATAAAATAAATAAATAAGCACTGCCCTCAAGGAACAGAGAAAACCTAAAAAGGAAACACACAGGTGGAGAATGTCCCAGGGACTGTCCTGGTGGTCATCGCCCTTGACTCTCAGACCCATAACAGACTGTGCAGCACCAGCCCCTCGAGGCCTGCCCGCCGCGCTGCCCCCACCCCAGCTGAGCCCGCTTTCCTACAGAGCCGCAGCCTCTCCCCGGGAGCTGCCAGGGCAAGAAGCCTCATAAGTGCCCAGTCATGGTTATGCTTTGGGGACACAAAGGAGGGCCCTTGCTCCATGCTCAGGGAGGAGAAGGAGGGGAGGGTCAGGGCAGTGGCCAAGGCAGGCAGAGGACAACAAACGTGACCAGCAGACAAGGCCACGGCTCCAGAGATTGGACAGGAGGCAACCAGGGCGGATCTGCAGGACGCTGGTGGTCTCTGGGGTTCTCAGCAGCACCAGGCAGCACTGGGCAGAGTGACCATGGAGACCCTGGGGTGCTCCACAGTCTTGCCTTCCATCCTTCCTCACAGTGACCCCATAAGGAGCAATTTTCCACGAGAGCTGGGCCATCTGCTGAAGACCACCCAAAAGCTCGCAGGGCGTACCAACGACGTGAGATCACAAACATGAGAAGACCACAAACGACACTCCTCGTGTGGCCCAGGCTGAGCTGCCAGACCAGGGAGAGCCTGGACTACGCACCTCCCTCCTGAGAACTCAGGCCCTTGTGCCAATTCAGAGTCACACAAGGAGACTGAGCGTGGGGGCTAGAGAGAGAAACGGGAGAAGCTGTTGGCCAGCACGGGATGGATCGAAACCTCTGGCCCTTCTCAGCAAATCAGGTGTAAAACCCACATGGCAAGTCGGGATGAGGGGCAATGTGTGCAAAGAACCCCCACACGGCCTGGCACATAGTGGCTCTCACAATTGGGTGGCTATTAGTTCTTCCTGTGGCTCAGCACTGCCGCTCGGAACGTCACCTGGGGACTAATCAAGCCCCTGATTGCCCCAGGGTCCCAGGAGAGCACCCCCAGATGCCTGTCTTCCTCCCACGGGATCAGCCTGCCTTTGCCTCAGTGGACTCAGTGGCCCAGTGCTCCTTGGGACTCCCAAGCCTGGCCATGAAGCAGGATGCCGACCCCCCAGCATCCCCATTTCTATAAAAACATGTTCTCCAGTTGTTGTAAGAATTCCATTGTGAACCCCAACAGGGAGATGACAGAAATGAACCCTGAGGGGGTTGCATGGTGTGTGGGCCTGTCCAGCTGCCCCTCACCCTGGTCTTGGCAGGCAAAGCCCACTTTGCTCCAGAGGCAGAAAATGGCACAGAGTCCTGGGCGTGGGAGCCAGTCTTGGCCACCGACACGTGAAGGGACTTCTGCAGGAGACTCCAGGGGAAGGAGGGTTCCCTACTCCTAAGGAGTGGCTGAGAAGGAGTGCTCTTTCCTGTGGCCCGGAGCAGTGGTGGGCTCCCCTCATCCACCTGTGGGACATCACGGCCGGGAGGCGGTGGCTGAGGGCAAGGGTGGGAAGCACCTGGGTCCCCGAGGACCTCTGGAGCCAGTGGACTCTGGGATCAGCTCACTGTGCTTCTGCCGTGGCACATGGTGCATGCATGTCCTTCTTCTTAGCGCCACTTTTAGGCGGGGCTTCTTTGCTTTCAGCCCAAAGCAGCCTGAATGATGTTCGTTTGATGCTTGTCTTCAGATCCATCCTCCTGGCCCTTGTTCCCTGATCCCTGCTCAAGGGAACCAGTAGAATGGCCTTCTCCTCTGCTTCTCCCTCCCTGAGGGTGAGGCCAGGCCCCCACTTGTCCCCCTCTTGCCTGTCACAATGGCTTGGGACCCAGAAGAGTTAGATCAGGCAGGAGGTAAGAACCGGATCCGGGCCCCAAGCTGCAGGTGGTAATGTGCCCCTCAAGAAAGAGAACACTGTGAAATAAAATCCGACCCACCCCTTTCCCACTCAACTTCCTTCGACAGCCCACTATTTCCAAAAGGAAAAGCCCAAACTCGAGCTCCTTAATCAAGCCCCTCATGATCTGGCCCCACAAAGCACCCCACAACGTGTTGAAATGCGTCCTGGGCAGACTGGGAACTCAGACGCCAACAGAACATGGTCAAGGCTCTGGGGAGCTGCAGCTTTGCTCCACCAGGGCCTCCCGTGGGCACAGCACCCCAGGGCCTCCCCAGGGCCTCCAGGGAAAGCACCAGAACCTCAGGACAAGGCAGCCTTGAGAGGAGCAGTGAAGGATCAGTGGTTTTCCAGGTCAACCATAAAACGCCTGACACCACAGACAGGAGCCCCGGGGCCGCACTCCATCAGTCTGCCTTCACGTGGCTGTGTCTCCTGCCAGGAATCACCCTTCTCCAGGCCCGTGCACCCAATGCCTGCTCATCCTCCGACACCCACACCCACTCCTGCCCTCCCAAGCTTTACCCCCTCACTCCCTCCTGTGTGCCACGGAAGACTGAGGGTCGGCTCTTGCTATGGGCTTTCTGTGATGTCGTTCAGAGGCTTTATTCAGATGGCTGTCTGTCTCCCACACCTGAAGGACAGGGACGTATTTTTTATTCAGTTTTAAATCCCCAGAGAGCAACACAGGGGCTGCTGTAGACTTGGCATGTTATATGGGTTTGAGAAGAAAACTAGGAAGGCAGAGAGGAAGGGATGGAGGGAAGGAGAGAGGAAGGAGGAAAGAAGGAAGAAGGAAGGAAGGCAAGCCAGCCCACACTGCGGCTCCAATAGACTGGTCTCCTAACCCTTCCAGAAATTTGAGACATTTCCAACCAGGCATTAACACGTCAAGACCTTCACACCTTAGTGAAAATGAGTGTTGCATTTTCTCTTCTTTGAGGTCAAGGGGCAGTCAATCGCCTGGTTGCTCAGAGGAAGCCTGGTGAGGAAGCAAAGGCAGCTCCCGTGGGCTCTGAGGGTCAGGAAGGACTCCGCCCCCAGCTCAGGGCTGGGGCAGCGCCTGCCCCGCCACTGAACGTGAGGAGCCACAGCTCCTCGGAGCTCCGGTAGGGAAAGAGCAGCCAAGGCAGTGAAAGTCCTGACCGAAGAGCCAGCAGCAAGCTCCCGCAACTCCATCCTCACCCACGAGTCTTCGACAGGCGCCTCTAGGTGTCACCATGTCCCGGAAAGGGCAACCCAGGCTGAAGACTGGACACAAGGGAGAGGCGTGATCAGGGCAGGGGCGCAGGGTCCCTTGTCAGCGCTGATCACCAGCTTTCACTCTGGTTTTCCAGTTACCTGTTCAGAGAAACAGGGGGGCACCTCCAGGCAGGGTAATAACAATGTTGACAGTGAGGGCTCGTCGTGGGCCAGCCCTGGGCTACACGCTCTGATGTGTTAATTACAATAATCCTGGGGCCACACCTGACTCTGAGCTCCACCATAGCTCAGCCTGAGCAGACCCAGCCTGGAGCAGACTCTGGTCCCCACCAGGACCTGAAATCCCAAAGAGAAGGGCAGAAAGACTGCCACCTCCCACTGGAGGAGCGTGGATGCTCTCTGTCCTCATTCACTTGCTAGGCCCCACTGTGGTTCAGACCTCTCATCCATCAGCTGGAGTTCACTGATGTAAGTACTGATGTAAGTACTCCCCAAGTACTTGTGTCAAGGATGCACTGGGGAGAAACCAATGCAGACCTGGATGTGGAGGTGCATTGGGAGGCCTAGGCTGTTCAAGCTCTTTTCAGGCTGGGACATTTCTTAGACCTTTACCTCCTAAGTCTCTTTCCCCCTGGACCACTTGCCTCCTGGACTCCACAGAATAAGAGTGCCAGACCTAGCAAATAAAAATATATGATGCTCAATTAAATTTGAATTTCAGACAAACAGCAAAAATTTTCATATAAGTATGTCCTGTGTAATATTTCGAACATATTTTAAAATGAAAACTTATTTGTGTGCATCTGAAATCCTAATGTCACTGAGGGTCCTGTGTTGTGTCTGATAACCCCACTCCCGGCCACTCTCCTCCTGGATATGACTGTCTAGGCGCAGCAGCCAGGAAATCTGCCACTGTACAATCCCCTGCAAGGCTTCCAAAGAGTGGAGGCTCACCCTGTGAATGGAAGGCCTGTCCTATATAAAACAGAGATGCACCTTGTCATGCAAGTGTTTGCCGCTGACCTCAGGGGACACCATCCACACCAGGCCTCTGAGTGTGGAATGCCTGCTGCCCATCTCCCTCCAGGGCCCTGACTGGTGAGCAGAGCCGTGCCCATAGCTGGCCTCCCCAGAGTTCAGGCTCCACTCCTGGACTGACTGACCGGGCAAGAGCAAAGCAACTCCCTGGGCACAGCCCTGGGATGGGTCTGTTTACGTTTACAACTTCTCCTGGCTCTGAAGACCAAGGTTCTGTGGATGCAGTAGCCTCAGTGATCAGAGCCAGAGCAAAGAGGGAACAAAAACCATGTCACCCAGGGAGGAAAAAAGGGCTCCCTGCAGCAGGACCCGCCGGCCTGGACAGGAGCAGGGGAGGGGCAGGGATGCAGTAAGTGGAGGAGGGGCAGGGCTGCAGTAAGTGGAGGAGGGGCTGGGCT